CACAAGCTGTAGAGCTCTGTGTGATCTGCAGCTTGTGGAGGGAAGATGTGGACAAGCAGGGGCTTTGCAAAGTCAAGCCTAGATGTGATGAATGCGTGAGTAAGGATTTTGGTGGTCAGAGGGGTGAAGCAGTAGCGGAGCGATGTTGCGGAGGTGGGGAAGGCAGAGCAGGTCATGGCACGGATGTGGGGTAGAAAGGACAGTTGAGGGTCAAACAAGACATCAACGTTACTGGATTGGCTTAGCAAGATGGGATGTGCATCACTGGATGGTGATGCTGTCGGTGCCTGAGGCGTGAAGTTGCTGACGGGACCCAATCAGGAGAGCCTCGAACTTCTGGACGTTCAACCGTGGAAAGTTAGCTCTCATCCAGGACTTGATGTCCAACAGACATTGTGTCAGGACAGCAGTGGGTCCTGGAGTTGAGGGTGGAGGCAGAGAGGTTGGATGACAATTGGGTGTCATCCATGTACACATGGAAGTTGACCCCATGTCTGTAGATGATGTCACCAAGAGGAGCATGTAGATATTGAAGAGGAGACATGGACAGAGTCCTGAGGAACACCATACAAGAGATGTAGATTTTAAAATGTGAATTAAAGTAAAGAGGGGGTGAGATGGAGGCATTAAGGCAGGGAGTTCTAGAGGTTAAGAGTGAGGAGTGATCGAGGGAGGCCTGATTTAGCTGAGAGATGAGGTGGGCATTGGAGTGAGGAGAAAGTAGGTCTGAGAGGTTATCGGGCATGAAGGGATTTGTAGCTGAGGAAGAGGACTTTGAAATCTATCCTTTTGGAGGCTGGTGAGGGTTGGGGTGATGGGTGTGCGGAGTATGATACAGGCGAGGATGCTAGTGGCAGAGGTTTGTATGAGTTGCACCTTGTGGATGGTGAAACTTGTGAGATTGACTTGTTAGGAACATAGCCCTGAGTTTAGGCCCACATTCCCCACCCTCTGTCACCAAACTCATCCTGTCCCTGAACCCACCACCTGCTCCCTTGACCCCATCCCCACTCCACTCCTTATCTCCCAGCTCCACCTCCTTGCCCCACATATCACAGACATCGTCAACCTGTTCCTCTCCTGTGGCTCTGTTCCCATTCCCTTAAAAACTGCCACCATCACTCCCACCTTGAAAAAACCCTCTCTTGATGCGTCGCAGCTATCAATCTCCGGCCCATCTCCAACCTCCCCTTCCTGTCCAAGGTCCTGGAACGAGTTGTGGCCTCACAGCTGCGCTCTTTCCTCTCCACCCATTCACTATTCGAACCCCTTCAGTCGGGTTTCCGTGCTGCCCATAGCACAGAAACTGCCCTGGTCAAGGTCACCAATGATATCCTGACCATCTGTGACCAGGGCTCCCTCTGCCTCCTCGTCCTCCTCGACCTATCGGCAGCATTCGATATGGTCAACCACGTTATCCTTCTCCACCGCTTGTCCTCCCACCTCAACCTTCAAGGCCCTGTCCTTGAGTGGTTTAGGTCGTACCTCTCCCACCGTCTTCACTTTGCTTCCACGAATGGCTTTTCCTCCACCCCCCGTACTGTCTCGTGCGGTGTCCCTCAGGGCTCTGTCCTCGGTCCCCTCCTCTTCACCCTCTATATGCTCCCCCTGTGGTGACATCATCCGCAGACATGGGGTTAACTTCCACATGTATGCGGATGACACCCAACTCTACCTTTCCTCCTCTACTCTCAACTCCACGACCCCCGATGTCCTGACAGCTGTCTGTCCGACATCGAGTCCTGGACGAGAGAAAACTTTCTTCAGCTCAACGTGCGCAAAACTGAGGCCCTCCTGATTGGCTCACGTCAGCGTCTCCGCACCTCAGGCGCTGACAGCATCAGCATCAAAGGCTGCACTCTCCACCTCTCAAAGCCATCAGGAAACTCAGCTGTTCCTGATGGCTTTGAGAGGTGGAGAGTGCAGCCTCTCTGTTCTGTTCGACCCTGAGCTGTCCTTTCTCCCTCATATCCGCGCCACAACTGGCACCGCCTTCCATCACCTCCGGAATGTCGCCAGACTACGGCACTACCTCACCCCTCACGGGGCTGAAACTCTGGTCCACACCTTTGTCACCTCAAGGCCGGACTATGGGAACTCTCCTCGTCGGCATTCCCGGCCCTCCCTCCACACTGCAGGTCATTCAGAACTCTGCAGCTCGTGTACTGTCCCGCACCAGACACCGCGACCACATCACTCCCACCCTCGCCCTCACTCTCCTCCACTGGCTCCCCATCCTCCAGAGGATCCAATTCAAGATCCTCATCCTCACCTACAAGGCCATTCACGGCCTCGCTCCCTCCTACCTCTCCAACCTACTGTCCCCCTACCTACCTGCCCGTACCCTCCGTTCCTCTGGCTCCGATCTGCTCAGATCCCGCGCCCCAACTGCCCTACCATCGGTGGCCGGGCCTTCAGCCTCTCAGCCCCGAGGCTCTGGAACCCCCAATGCCTTCGCCGCTTCCTCCCTTTCCTCCTTCAAGGCCGGTCTCAAGACCTTTCTCTTTGACCGTACTTTCAGCTCCCCTCTCGACTCTCTACCCCCTCCTCGCTCCCTCCCTTCCTTCCCTCCCCTCACATTGACCATTTTCACCCCCTCCTCGCTCCCTACCTCCCCTCCTCTCACCCTGACCATTTCCCCCCTCCTCGCTCCCTTCCTCCCTCCCTTCCCTCCCCTCACCCTGACCATTTCCCCCCTCCTCGCTCCCTTCCTCCCTCCCTTCCCTCCCCTCACCCTGACCATTTCCCCCCTCCTCGCTCCTTCCCTTCCCTCCCCTCACCCTGACCATTTCCCCCCTCCTCGCTCCCTTCCTTCCCTCCCCTCACCCTGACCATTTCCCCCCCTGCTATGGTCCTGACCCAGCTGTCCAGCGCCTTGGTACGTCCTCCCGACGTGAAAGGCGCTCTATAAATGAAATCTTGTTGTTGTTGTTGTTGATGCAGTCCCAGTATCCTGGGAAGAGTCAGCATTTTACTTTGGCAAAAAATATGGGTCAAAACCCCTGACCCCAGCACCACACCCCTACCCCTGTACACAACACAAATTAGTGGCTGCAATCACCTACAAGTCCTGTAGCACAATGGTTAGAGCGCTCGCCTCGCGAGCGAGAGCACCCGGGTTTCATTCCCAAATGGGACAAAACCTTAGGCACGTTTCCTAACTCCACACGTCTCTGTTTACCAGCAGTGAGTAGGAACCCAGTTGTTAGTCGATTGGCAGATCGTTTTCAGGGGTAATAATTCCTTGAAAAAAATGTGGTCACTCATCCACGACTGTTTGTGGGACACCATGGCTGCCATGTTTCACCCACAAAAATATAGTAAATTCACTTTACAGTATATTCCGTGAAGGACTTTGAGACGTCTTGAGGATGTGAAAAGTGCTATATCAAATGCAAGAATTATTATTATTATTATATTCTGTTGAGCGCTTTGAGATGTCTCAACGATGTGATAAGGCACTATATCAAATGCAAGGATTAAAAAATTAAAATGCTTTACTGCAATTCGTGTGAAGCACTTTGAGTCCTCCTCCCGAGATCAAAGACTGGGATTACTATTAGAATTCAGTCGTAATATCACCAGTTTGAAATCCCCAGGGGGTGACCAGTGTACAGCCCAGAGCTGGAGGAGGGGTCAGGATGGGAAGGAAGGGGTGAGACTGGCTGACAGCGGACAGAGTTGACCCTGGCTATTGGCCTGTGCCTGAGGTCCTGCCCTGCTTGTGAGCTGTGTGGTGTGGGTCTGGTCACGTACGCCATGTCTGCCTCTGCCACTCACACACTGGCAACAGGAACACAGCTTACGCGCTGTTGGGGGGAACACAGAATAAATCTATCATTGCGAGTCTGCCCCACACGCCCCACTGCCTGCCTTTTCCCTCGGCTCCCAGCACGGGCAGCATTCCTCCACCGACTCTGATTGCGGATTTTGTTCCATCAATTGCCTTTCTTTTCTTTTTTTTTTAAAAATAAAATGGACTTTGGACATTGGCGCATACGTTCCCAGTGTTTCGTGGCCAAGTTTACAGAGAGCCCTGGGACCCGGAGCAGAGATCAGCGCAACAAAAAAAAATAACCACATGGACGCAATATCAGCCGGGGCTCGATTTCAATCTATGGACTGAATGACTGTGAACTCGCGCCTGAAAACAAACATCTTTATTTTAACTTAAAAAACACGCAATTACAATCCTTTTTATGTTGGACGGTGGGAGAGAGATTCAAGTGAAATTCAGTGTGTGGCGGTTTGGTCGGATTAGGGTTTTAATGTGATTGATATTATTATTATTATTACAGTTGTGGCTCTGCGGCTCAGTGTTTCTTTTAACCTTTTTTGGGGCACTTTAGGCAATTTTAGACATTTTAATTTAAGTTGTAAACGTGTTTTTCACCCCAAAGTGATGGTTTGACCCCGGACACCGCAGGTTGGTACTGTAAACACAAACACAAGTTATTTTTATTTGTGGTGTTTTTGTGAAGAAAAATACAGTGAAAATGGTTAAATCCCATGTGGTTCCCGGTGATGGAGCCCCGCCCCCCGCTCCGGCCCCGCCCCCCGCCCCGCCCCTAGACACGCCCCCAGGCACGTACACATCCCTCGCCCCCCCCCCGACCAGGCCACGCCCACAACCCCGCGCCCAGGCACGTCCACATCCCCAGCCCCGCCCCCGCCCCGCCTCCAGCCCCGCCCACACCTCCAGCCCCGCCCACACCTCCCGCCCCGCCTCCAGCCCCGCCCACCTCCAGCCCCGCCCACACCTCCAGCCCCGCCCACACCTCCAGCCCCGCCCACACCTCCAGCCCCGCCCACACCCCAGCCCCGCCCACGCCAGCCCCGCCCACACCCCAGCCCCGCCCGCCCCAGCCCCGCCCACACCCCCAGCCCGCCCCAGCCCCGCCCACACCCCAGCCCCGCCCACCCCAGCCCCCGCCCCAGCCCCGCCCACACCCGCAGCCCCGCCCACACCCGCAGCCCCGCCCCCGCGGGTTGTTGACTGCGGAGTGCGTCCTCTCCGCAAACCGCAGACTCCGGGGCGGCGCCGCGGCGGATCCTCAGCTCTGAAACTAAAACACCGCAAACAGCAGAACACCGCGTCTCGGAGCCGCTGTTTGTGCCGCGGGACCACCGCGCGGCTCTGTGATGTGTGTCCGTGTACAGAGGTGCGGATCGCTGAGCGGTAATACAAAGGCGCGATCCGGGTCCGTGTACTCCGCTTCACTGCGCACATCGCGGCTCAACCGGAGTCCCGCATTCAGGACTTCATTGTCACAGAGAGTCACAGAGAGAAACAGAGAGTCACAGAGAGAAACAGAGAGTCACAGAGAGAAACAGAGAGTCACAGAGAGAAACAGAGAGAAACAGAGAGTCACAGAGAGAAACAGAGAGTCACAGAGAGAAACAGAGAGTCACAGAGAGAAACAGAGAGTCACAGAGAGAAACAGAGAGTCACAGAGAGAAACAGAGAGTCACAGAGAGAAACAGAGAGTCACAGAGAGTCACAGAGAGAAACAGAGAGACACAGAGAGTCACAGAGAGTCACAGAGAGACACAGAGAGTCACAGAGAGTCACAGAGAGAGTCACAGAGAGTCAAACAGAGAGTCACAGAGAGTCAAACAGAGAGTCACAGAGAGTCACAGAGAGTCACAGAGAGTCACAGAGAGAAACAGAGAGTCACAGAGAGTCACAGAGAGACACAGAGAGTCACAGAGAGACACAGAGAGAAACAGAGAGTCACAGAGAGACACAGAGAGAAACAGAGAGTCACAGAGAGAAACAGAGAGTCACAGAGAGACACAGAGAGTCATAGAGAAAAACAGAGAGTCACAGAGAGACACAGAGAGTCACAGAGAGAAACAGAGAGTCACAGAGAGAAACAGAGAGTCACAGAGAGAAACAGAGAGTCAGAGAGTCACAGAGAGTCACAGAGAGAAACGGAGAGTCACAGAGAGAAACGGAGAGTCACAGAGAAACAGAGAGTCACAGAGAGAGAGACAGAGAGAATCACAGAGAGAGAGAGTCACAGAAGAGAGAGTCACAGAGAGAAACAGAGTCACAGAGAGAGAGAGAGAGTCACAGAGAGAGAGAGAGACAGAGAGTCACAGAGAGAGTCAGAGAGAAACAGAGAGTCACAGAGAGAGACAGAGAGTCACAGAGAGAAACAGAGAGAGAGACAGAGAGAAACAGAGACACAGAGAGTCACAGAGAGCGAGAGACAGAGAGAAACAGACAGAGAGTCACAGAGAGGGAGAGAGACAGAGAGAGAGTCACAGAGACACAGACAGAGTGACAGACGCAGAGAGTCAGAGAGAGAGACAGAGTCACAGACAGAGAGTCACAGAAAGACAGAGTCACAGAGAGAGAGACAGAGAGAGACACAGACGGAGAGTCATAGAGAGAGACAGAGACACAGAGAGAGACAGAGAGAGGGAGAGTCACAGAGAGAGACAGAGAGTGACAGACAGTCACAGAGAGAAACACACACAGACACACACACAGAGAGACACCGACACACAGAGAGTGAGAGAGACACAGAGTGAGAGAGACACAGAGAATGAGAGACACAGAGAATGAGAGACACAGAGAGTGAGACACAGAGAGAGAGTCACAGAGAGAGAGTCACACAGAGAGAGAGAGACACAGGACAGGGCACTCGGGGGTAAAGTACAGCGCATCACTGGAGGGGAGATCACACCTCCAATGCCCCCACTCCGAAACCTGCTGCTGGGTACCAGGTCAATATCTCACACACACACACTAGTGAGCACACACACACACACTAGTGAGCACACACACCCACACTAGTGAGCACACACACCCACACTAGTGAGCACACACACACACACTAGTGAGCACACACACACAGACTAGTGAGCATCTCACACACAGACTAGTGAGCATCTCACACACAGACTAGTGAGCATCTCACACACAGACTAGTGAGCATCTCACACACAGACTAGTGAGCATCACACACACAGACTAGTGAGCATCACACACACACTAGTGAGCATCTCACACACACTAGTGAGCATCTCACACACACTAGTGAGCACACACACACTAGTGAGCACACACACACTAGTGAGCACACACACACTAGTGAGCACACACACACTAGTGAGCACACACACACTAGTGAGCACACACACACTAGTGAGCACACACACACTAGTGAGCACACACACACTAGTGAGCACACACAGACTAGTGAGCATCTCACACACACTAGTGAGCATCTCACACACAGACTAGTGAGCATCACACACACACTAGTGAGCATCTCACACATACACACACTAGTGAGTATCTCACACACACACACTAGTGAACACACACACACACGGGAACACCCATCACCCCCTCTCACATACACACACTAATCCGCAGCAGTGTGTTCACACCTGTGCGCGCGGTGAGGCGGTCACTGCGGTCACTTTTGTTGATGTTTTGGACCTCTTAACTTTCCAGTTCAGGAGATTAGTTATTTGGTCAATTGTATCGAAATCAGTGGTCAGTGGTCACAGGAATCAGAAGATATCAACCACTTGTGTGTGTATCAGTGTGGGTTTGTGTGTGAGAGGGAGAGGGGGGGAGGGAGGGAGGGAGGGAGGGAGAGGTTGTGGGGGACAGGGAGTGGGATTAGAGAGCTCCAGTCTGGGAGTGAGCACCAGATTGAATCAATCAAAGAGAACATGGCTTTGTGAGGGAGAGGTCCAGGAGGACGCGGAGGCGGAGGCGGAGGCGGAGGCCGCTCTGGGCTCTGGTTGCAGACAGAGAGGATATCATCTGTGACTTTGACAAATGTCTGTGTGTTGTGGGCAGTCGGGGCGACAACCAGACCGCAGCGGCTCGAGGAGGGCCCGTACCCTCCGTTCCTCTGGCTCCAGTCTGCTCCACATCCCCCGCCCCAACCGCCCGACCATCGGTGGTCGGGCCTTCAGCCTCTCAGCCCCGAGGCTCTGGAACTCCATCCCCAGTGCCTTCGCCGCCTCCTCCCTTTCCTCCTTCAAGGCCGGTCTCAAGACCTTTCTCTATGACCGTACCTTCAGCTCCCCTCTCGACTCTCTACCCCCTCCTCACTCCCTCCCTTCCCTCCCCTCACCCTGACCATTTCCCCCCTCCTCGCCCCTTCCCTCCCCTCACCCTGACCATTTCCCCCCTCCTCGCTCCCTCCCTTCCCCCCCTCACCCTGACCATTTCCCCCCTCCTCGCTCCCTCCCTTCCCTCCCCTCACCCTGACCATTTCCCCCCTGCTCGGGTACCGACCCAACTGTCCTTGGGACATCCTCCCGATTTGAAAGGCGCTCTATAAATGTTGTTGTTGTTGTTAAGGGAGTGGAGGGAGAGGTGACTTGCAACAGTGAGTTCCAGGAGTTCAGCAAGGAAGGGTAGTTTGGAAATGGGAGGGTAGTGTGAGAGATTAGAGGGATTGAGGGTGTTTTTTCTTAGGAGTGTGATAACAGCAGTTTACAGGGTGAATGGAACAAAGCCTGAGGAGAGAGACAGGTTGACCATGTCGGCCGGCAGTGGGGAGAGGAGGGGGAGGTGAATGACCAGCAGCTGGGTGGGGAGGAGGGTCAAGGCAGTAGGTGGTGAACTTCATTGTGTTTGAGAGGGAGGAGGGAGAAATGGGGTCAAAAGAATGTAAGTACGGGGTAGTAGCAGGAGCTGTGGAGGTGCGAGAAGGTGGTATGGATGGTCTGAGTGGGGTGGAAGGGGACATAGGAGGGTGAGGACGATGCAGCCAAGTGGATGTTTTCGATCTTTGAGGAGAAGAAATCTAGGACCTCTTCTCACTTGGCGTTTGAGGGGCTTGGGGGGTGCACAGAGGAGGTAAAGGTCGGAAGAAAACAGTGTCTTTGGGTTGTTTTGGGCCTCCAAGATGACTTTGGAGTAAAATCGCCCATTATGAGCAGGTGTTCAGTGCAGAGGGAGAGGGATGAGAGGAGAGAGGAGATATTGGTGAGAAAGGAGCCAGGAGTTTTTTTGGGGGGCAGTAAACCAGGAGGATTTTGAGGGAAAGAGAGGAGGGATGGTAGCGGACCTGGAAGTGACTTCACGCAGTGAGATTCGGGCCGTTGTTCAGGTGGGAGATTTCAACAAGGCAACTCCGTGCCTAAAGCAGCCGAACTTTCTCCTCGCCGGTCACTAACCACCGCTCATTCGACCACCTGCGGTCGCTCGCTCCCATCTGATCTCAGCGGTCGCTCATTTACTGCGATTCAGGTGGGAGGTTTGAAATTTCGTCTCTGTTCCTGGACCCGCAAATGGGCCCCGCTCCGCCCGAGGCCAACTTTGTCCCACTGTCGTGGTCCGAACCTTCAACCCTCTCACCGATCACTGCCCACTCTTTCACCCGTGGCCCGAGCTCTCGCAGCTCACGTTTGCTCTCAGCTCTCACTGCTCGCGTCTCTATTCCCTTGGACTCTATTCCCTTGAGTTCAGAAGGTTGAGGGGTGATCTGATTGAAATTCCTAAAATGATTAAGGGTTTCGATCGGGTAGCTACAGAGAAACTACTTCCTCTGGTGGGGGAATCCAGAGCGAGACAGCGTTTCACCCCCAAAACATATGGTGAATTCACTTTACAGTATATTCCGTGAAGCACTTTGAGGTGTCTCGAAGACTTGATAAGGCACTATATTAAATGGAAGAATTATTATTATTCTAATCTTAAAAATAGAGCTAGGCCATCCAGGAGTGAAATTCGGAAACAGTTTTTCACCCAAAGGATAGAGGAAATCAGGAACTCTCCCCCAGAAGGTTGTTGATCCATTCAAACGTTCAAGACCGAGGTGGCGAGACATTTGTTAGGTTAGCGTATCGAGGGAATGGGGCACAAACAGGTAATTGGAATTGAGGTACAGGTCAGTCAGGATTCATACAAATGTAATTTTGTTATTGTAATAAAATAGTGGAACAGGCTCAGGGGGCTGAATGGCCTACTCCTCTTTCAACGTTCCTGGTACAGATATGATGGAGAGAGGAGAAGAATGGGATTAGAGCAGTGGTTCCAAACAAATTCTTTGTAGGTCTCAGTGGCAGTCAGCAATACTTTACTGGTGACTGCAGTGCCTGACCACAAAATTAAGTTTTCAGTCAAACCTGCAGCAATTGAGATGATTGTTGCAGTGTACGTGAATAAGAGATCAGAACTGTTGGTCCAGTTTGGTAATCACACCTCACAATTCGCGGTGGAGCGGGGACTGTGTGGCCACAGTTAACAAACACTGGATTGGAATAGAGAGCTCCAGTGGGGATTGAGCACCAGCACAGACACCATGGGGAGCGAGCAGGGAATGAGGTTAGAGTTGAGAGCTCTAGTGGGGGAATCGAGCATCAGCACAGACATGGTGGGGAGTGAGCACCAGTACAGACTCGATTGGGAGAGATCAGGGAATAATAATACTATAATAATAATCCTTGCATTTGATATAGAGCTTTTCACGTCTTCTCAACGTCTCAAAGAGTGAAAAGCGCTATATCAAATGCAAGAATTATTATTATTAAAGCGCTTCACAGAATAGACTGTAAAGTGAACTGACTGTATATTTGTGGGCGAACGCGGCAGCCAATTGCGCACAGCAATGTCCCACAAACAGTCGTAGATTGAAAATGACCAATTTATTATTGTTTTTGGTTTTGGAGGATTATTATTAGGCTCTGTGTGGAGTAAGGAAACTTGCCCAAGGTTTCACCCTCTGCCTGGAATTGAACTCAGATCTCTCGCTTGCAAAGCGAGTGCTCTAACCACTGAGCTACAGGACTCCACAATTAATATTAATGGGATTAGAGTAGAGAACTCCAATGGGGGAGTGAGCACAGCGCAAACACAGTGGGGAAGGGTTTTGCCCTCTGACACGCAGTGTTTTCTTGTCCTTACAGGGTGTGATGGCGAGTGCGTTGTCACGGCGCCTGGGGAAGCGCTCCCTACTGGGTGCTCTGGTGCACACACCTAACCCCGCAGGTGATGGGATGTTGATCCCCGGCCTGATCCAGGCATTCCGATCCCACCCAGGCAAAGGGAAGTCCTCCTACACCGTGTCCTTTGAGGACGGGCGTTTCAAGGAGTGCGGTGAGGACAGCATCATTGGCCCAGGCTTCCAAAGTCTGAGCAGCTTCAGTCTGATCGCAGGACAGGAGGTACGACCATAGTGATGGGCTTCTGAGTGTGTCAGACACCCGGGTGACCAGAAAAATCATCTCAAGCACTTTGCAATGTACCTATAAATACAGTGTATATATGTAATATACAGTCAAATCACTTTAAGGTATATTCTGTGAACCGCTTTGAGTTGTCTCAATGATGTGATAAGGCGCCATATCCAATGTAAGGATTATTATTATTACCGCCTGAGGTGAAAGGCGTGGAATCGAATGTAAGAGTTATTGTTGTATCAATGGTTGCCAACAGGTTTTCCTGACTGTGAACGGCCGGGAGGAGGTGGGGTTGGTGGAGACCCACAACAAGGAGAGGAATGAAGTGCAGGTCCACGTGGCCGGCCTTGGGGTGCGGACCCTGCGCCGGATCGAGGAGCTGCGGCTGATGGAGAGTCGGCGGTCTCCACGGCTACAGGAGCTGGAGCGCGAGCACACGCGAGCTGGGCCACCCGAACACAGCGTGGGGGGAACTTCCTCTGGGATCGATGTCCCCACACGGTGAGAGAGACCGTTATCGGATCCAATCTCTTAACTGTGCTCAACTGAGACTAATGGTGCTCACTCCCCACTGGAGCTCTCTACTGTGACCCCATTCTCTGCTCTCTCTCTCCCCATCGTGTCTGTGCTGGTGCTCGCTCCCCCACTGGAGCTCTCTACTCTAACCCCATTCTCTGCTCTCTCTCTCTCCCCATCGTGTCTGTGCTGGTGCTCACTCCCCACTGGAGCTCTCTACTCTAACCACATTCTCTGCTCTCTTTCTCTCCCCACCGTGTCTGTGCTGGGGCTCACTCCCCACTGGAGCTCTCTACTCTAACCCCATTTCCTGCTCTCTCTTGGTCCCGACTGGAGCTCTCTACTCATAACCCCATTCTTTGCTCTCTTTCCATCGTGTCTGAGCTGGTGCTCGCTCCCCACTAGAGTTTTCTACTCCTAACACCTTCCCCATTATGTCTTTTCTGGTACTCCAAATATGGTCTAACCAAGTTTTTGTATGAATGTAACATCATTTCCCTATGAGGAATATACTCTGGGAATAAACTCTACAACGGCCCTGTTTGCATTCTTTATGGCCTCATCACCTGTGTTAGTTTTAATCTTTGATCACTGGTTCCTGTTCCCATTCAGGCTCCTACCATACAGGGAAGAATCTTCCTGCACATTTCTGTATGTTAACTGTCTGTGGATTATAGTGAAGGTTATTTGTGGGGACAGGACAGGACTGTCTGTCTGCGGCTGTGGGAAGTGTTGTTACACTCTATTCATGACGTGTTTATTTTTTGCTCTCAGGAAGTCAGAGGGAGTGGACGAGATCATGGCAGCCATGGTGCTCACCAGCTTGTCCTGTAGCCCTTCCACCAACAGCACCTGGACAGGTAGGTACACACTGACCAGCTCCAGCATTACTGTCGCTCACCCCCCCTCACCCCCCAATAAGCTTTCTCTACACTGTCCGTCCACACCCCCAGGTCAGTGGTAGCACAGGGTTAAGGTCAGAGGAAAGCTCCCACTGCTTTGCCCACTCCTGTTTGACATTCCGGTTTCTCTCTCTCGACAGAAAGTGATACTTGTGTGTTATTGCGAATATATTGGAGCCTCAGTTGACATTGTGTTCGAGCCTCGCTGGTGTTTGATACTCGTGCGCAGCAGGATTCTGACGCTGCCTGTGCTCTTGTTTGGTGTTTGGGTGCCACCTACACATGGAAATTTCCCCATGTCTGGAATGGAGTGTGCACACTCTCCCTGGAGGGATGCATTCTGCTTACGTAATTCCAGAGGATATTAATAATAATAAGAATAAGAATCCTTGCATTTGATATAACGCTTTTCAAGTCTTCTCGACATCTCAAAGCGCTTCACAGAATAGACTGTAAAGTAAATTGACCGTATATTTGTGGGCGAGTTAGGTGCAAGTTGGCAAGAGCCAAGGCTTGGGGAGCTGCTGGAGTCTAATCAACTAAAAATACATCGCTTGCCATTGATAGCATTGTCTGGAAAGCTTTCCTAGTGCTTGTCCAGCTTGGACCATCCTGCCCGTTAGGGCTTTGGTTTGCAGGGTGGAACCTGGTGGCACAACAACAACAAGATTACATTTGTATAGCGCCTTTCATGCCAGGAGGACGTCCCAAGGACTTCAGACCCTAGCTGGGGTCAGGGGGGAGAAGGGAGGGGAAGGTGGGTCACTAATGGCAGGGTCGAAGAGGAGGGTTTTGAGGCAGGATTTGAAAGGCTAAGGAGGGGGCGAGGCGGAGTGATTGGGGGATGGAGTTTCAGAGGTTGGGGGCAGAGTGGCTGATGGCTCTCCCGCCAATGGTTGGGCGGGTGGGTCGGGGGTTATGAAGCAGGCCGGAGCCGGCTGAGCGGAGGGAGCGGGCAGGTTGGTAGGCGGTTAACAGGTCACAGAGATGGGGTGGAGCCAGGATTATGAACTGGATCCTCTGAAGGATATGGAGCCAATGAAGTCGGGCGAGAATGGGGGAGATGGGGCCACGGAGTTTGGTGCAGGAGAGGACACGGGCGGCAGAGTTCTGGATTATCTGCAGCTGTGGAGGGAGGAGTTGGGAAGGCGTTTGCATAGTCGAGCCTGGAGGTGATGAAGGTATGAACAAGAGTTTCAGCGCCTGAGGGGTGAGGTAGTGGCGGAGTCGGGTGATGTTACGGAGGTGAGGGAAGGCAGAGCGGGTCATGGCTTGAATGTGGGGAAGAAAAGACAGTTGAGAGTCAAACAAGACACCAAAGTTCCTGACTGACGGTGAGTTGTAGTGTACACCATGGAGGGTGATGTTGCCAGAGCCTGAGGTGCGGAGGCGCTGGTGTGAGCCAATCAGGAGGGCCTCAGTCTTGTTCACATTCAACTGTAGGAAGTTTGCGCTCATCCAGGATTTGATGTCCGACAGACAGTCTGTCAGGACAGCAGTGGTCCTGGAGTTGAGAGTTGAGGCAGAAAGATGGAGTTGGGTGTCATCCGCATACATATGGAGGTTGACCCCATGACTGTGGCTGATGTCACCAAGGGGGAGCATGTAGATATTAAAGAGGAGACAAGTGGAGAGCCCTGGGGGAAGCCAGACATGACAGTGCGGGGGCTGAGGGGAAACCGTTAGAGGCAACAAAGTGGAGACGGTGAGAGAGATAGGATCGAGCCAGGCAAGGGCAGATCTGTGAAGATTGAGTAAGGAGGAGAGGCGGTGTATGAGGATGGAGTGGTCGACATTGTCGAAGGCGGCAGAGAGGTCGAGGAGGACAAGGAGGCAGAGGGAGCCCTGATCACAGATGTTCAGAATGTCATGAGTGACTGTGACCAGGGCTGTTTCCGTGCTGTGGGAATGGCGAGAGAGAAAGGAGCGGAGCTGGGACGCGACGACCCGTTCCAGGACCTTGGAGAGGAATGGGAGGTTAGAGATGGGGCAGTAGCTGGAGAGTAGGGATAGGTCCAGGGAACTGAACCGGTTGATAAGGAGAGGTTGATGATGTCAGACAGGAGAGGGGCCAGAAGGTGGAGCTGGAAGATGAGGAGAGAGGTGGGGATGGGATCAAGGAGCCGGTTGTAGGTTTGAATTTGCGAACAGCCGCGGAGAGGGAGGAGGGAGAGATAGGGTCGAAGGAGTATAGGGGGGGATGGGTGGGGGGGTGGATCATGAGGGAGAGGTGATGTGGGGGTGGCTGTGGATGGGGCAGAGGTGGCTGAGCGAATCCCCTCGATTTGGGTTTTGAGGAAGTCCAGCATCTTTTCACAGTTGGAGTTTGAGGAGAGGATGGACGAGGTATGGGAAGGTGGACGGAGGAGACGATTTGTGGTGGAAAAGAGAAGCCGGGGGTTGCCTTTGCCTCCAAGATAACCTTAGTGTAGAAGGAGGATTTGGCGGATGCAAGAGCGCAGCGGTAGGTCTTGGTATGGTGAAGCCAGATCTGCCGATGGACCGTTAGTTTGGATTTGGTCGAGGTGCATTCGGCAGCTCGCACTTGTGCCTTGAGGGAACGGAGATGGTTGGTGTACCAGGGGCATTTACGGAAGTACGAGGCAGTTCGGGAGGTGAGGGGAGCAAGGGAGTCCACAGCAACAACTTGGATTTATATAGCACCCTCCACGCCGGATAGCATCTCAGAGCGCTTTACAGTAACGGATCTGTCCAGAATGGAGGAGAGGTAGTTGTGGAGAAAAGAGAGTGAGGAGGGGAGATCGGTCAGGGAGGGTCAGAGGTGAAGGGGTTCAGATGACTCCAGGGCAGTGGAGAGGGAGGAAAGTTTTTTCCACGGACGGTATTTGATGGTGGAGGGTTGAGAAAGGGGAAGGGGTACCGAGGTGTTGAGGGAGATGAAGTGGTGGTCCGAGATGGTTTCCCAGTACTGCTGATTTAATCTCGCCTTGACCCAGGCGGGTATACACACTGATGCTCTTCTGTTATAGGGCCCCCACACAGCTCGGGGAGGGGGGAGAACGGGAAGCATCGATGCAGAGCTGGTAGCAGCTGGGGCAGGAACCAAGCTTGCAACTCAGGCTCCCCCTCTCCTCCTCACCTCCCGCTCTCTGACACAAACCCTCCTGAGGATCTCACTGACCTGCCCGACACCCACCAGCTCCTCTTTGAGGAACACCTGCCCAGAAAGAGAAAGGTGAGTTCACAAGAGGTAGTGTGACGGTGGTGACGTCATGACCAGTGTCAGGGAGCGTTGTATTTTATACCCAGTGCTTCAATATTTAGAGTTGGGGCTTCTCAAGTCGGGAGGACATAACCAATATCCCGTTTATATTAACAAATTTAAAATACATACTTCTCGAAATAACTTTAAAACATTTAATGGACATGAGTTCATATTTTGACAACACTCCAAAGCCTTAAGTTAAATCAGAGTTGTAATACATAAAATGTATATGGTTTGAGCAGAGGAGTGAGCTGACCCACTTATTTGTTATAAGGCCCTTCCGAGGTGCAACTCTTTATTAAGAGCTAGTAACCCGAGGCAGAGGATAACCTTTAGTTCACCACCTCGAGGAGCACAAAGCATGTGGTTCCGCTCACCATATGGTGCGAATGTGAGGGTTTTTTCCCACACTGGGGCCCGCGTGTTATATTACTCTGCAGGCTGCTGGTTAGAGCTTCTTAGCTGACTGTCAATCGAGCCGCCCTGGATCAATACATCCTTGCACATGTGTGTAGGCTGCTCCCCCCCCTCTCTCCCCGTGGTCCTGATCAACCCCACTCCCCCGCGCTCTCACCATAGCCCTGATCAAGCCCTCTCGCCTGCTCTCCCCATAGCCCTGATCAACCCCACTCCCCCGCGCTCTCACCATAGCCCTGATCAACCCCACTCCCCCACTCTCTCCCCACAGTCGTGATTTATTTATTGGGACCACTGCTCGCTAACTCTGTGCTGCAAAGCAGCCTCTGCAACATGGAATCTTATAGAACCCATTTAAAGGGGCAGAGTTGCCCATTTCCCCGCGTGGGTGGATATAACTGTGTAATATTATTTCAACATTTCGAAAGACTGTAAGAACAGGGTAACCGTGACACTCCGTCCAAACGAGTTTGCAGGTTCCCTGGTCATGACGTTACAACTGCCACAGTAGTGAGTGTGCGAGTGGGTGAGTGAGTGTTCACCAGAGGTAGTGAGTGTGCTATTATGTGAGTGAGTGTGAATTCTCTCGACTGATCCCTTCTCTTTCTCCGTCTCCATGTTTCCCACTCTTTCTCTCTCTTCCTCCCTCTTTCTGTCTCCTTTTCTCTCTGAGGTTGTGGGGTTGAGGTGGATGTCAACCACTGCCTGGCCATTATCCTGAAAGACGGAGCTGAGAAGGTCAAAGGGCGTCCTGGCCTTGCTCGTCCCACTTCAAGGACAGCAAGGTCTCAATGCAGGTCAAGCTTGTAGCATATAAGACCTGTGTACAAACAGTTCTCCTGTATGGATCCGAGCTCCTGGGGATGCAGTGGAAAGGCTTCTTCCGACCCATTTGCAGAAGTCCAGGATCGAGCAGTGAGATGGATTTGTAGCAAACATGGGAAGTGGCTGCAGGGAGGGCTCCGGCCAACACTAACCTGTCGCTAAACACCCTGTCGGCGGAGTGAGCTTCACAGTGAGCATGTCTATTTGCCAAGGCCCCTCACATGAGCACCCGGCTCAGCAGCTGGTGCTGAGTTAGCCTGGTACACGGCATTGGACTTGGATCTCGAAAATATAAAGGAGATTGGCATGACACAAGCTGTCCTGTAAAGGTCATCCCGCCACGCTGAACGCAAATTCCCAGCACACAGGTGATGAGGAAGCTGTTAGGCTTGGGGCGACAGCTGTTGGAAGGTGTTTCCTGGAGTCTGACCTCATCAACACATGTTCATACATCCACCTCGATTGGCTTCCTAGGCGCAAGCAGCTGCTGCATAAACTCATCACCTTTATGTGGTGGAACCATCGCTCAATGGGAATGGACTTTTGCCTGAACTGCGGACAGGAAGATGGTGCCAATGCTCTCACGCATTTCATGCTCAGCTGTGTTGCCCACCAGGAATCTCGCAGGGAGTTCCTGGTATCTGCCACAGTGAGGCTCAAACCCACACTTGTTGGATGTCAATGACCAATTAGTGACGGTCCTCCTTGTGGGGAGGTAAGCGAGGTGTCCTTGGAGCTGAACTGACGTTAATATAGAATATTTGGCATAGAATGTCGGAATCGAGCCCTCTGAGACAGCCTCTAGTTCCTGAGCTGGGCAGGTCCCACAGTATTCCAGGGCACTGTTGATTTACCATAGCCAGCCTGGCTCACAGGCAGACCTGGAAGGGCAGACCAGTCACTGGTGCCAGAGAGTTATCACTCTCAGCTCCTGTTAACCCTGCAAGCCAGAGCCCCCACTCCCTCCCTCCCTCCCTCCCTCCCTCCCTCTCTTCGCTCATCCTTTCCCACTTGATCCTCTCCTTCATCTGATTCCTCCTCTTGTTGCCTTGCTCCCTCTCTCTCTCTCTGTCTATCTTCTGCTCTCTGTCTCTCAAGCGTACGATTCTGTTTCTCATTCTCTTACTCCCGATTATCTCTCTCTCTCTCTCTCTCTGTTTGTCTTCTCTATCTTTTTGATCCTCGTCAGTCTCTCACTCCTTTTCCTCTGTCTCTCATCCTCTCACTGCTGCCCTTTCCTTCTCTCTCTCTCTCTCTCCTGATCCTCTCTCTTGATTCGGTTTCTCTCTCGCTTGTTCTCTCGCTCCAGATCCCTCTCACTCGTTCTCTCAATCCTGATCGCTCCTCTTCCATTCTCTCGCTCTGAACCTCTCCCTCTTACAGAACTCAGTGAAGATAATGTACAAGTGTATGTGGCCCGACTGCTCTAAGCTTCTATGCTCCACAGTGGGAATCCGGAGACACATCCGCACTGTGCATCTCGGGTAGGTGGGGGCTTGGCTGGGGGGGGGGGGGTTTACTTTATTATGAATAAAATCCTTGCATTTTATTTAGTCACTCACATCAAGAGCACAATCTCAAAGCGTATTGTTGGTTGATCAACCGGGAGGTCCACCGGGATATGGGAACCCATCACGATGCTTAAAAGCATTCAAACCAAACTGAGATTTCCATGTGTGTCACTTATACTTAGAAATTCCTGTGTATTGGACCATTGTACTGTTAGGGCTTTGGCTGGAAGGGTTAACAGGAGAGAAGTGGGAGGATTCCCTGTCCCCAGTGACTGGTCTGCCCTTCCAGGTCCGGACAATGAGTCAGATTGGGCTGTACTGTTATCAGCAGCGCCATGGAATACTGTGGACCCGCCAGGCTCAGGAACTGGACTAGAAACCGGCACAGAGGTGGGGGGAACTTGATTCCGATACTCCATTGCCAAGTATGCCAGTTTGGCTCTTCAGAGACCCCGATCATGTCATCAAAAGTTCTGAAAAACCCTTCACAGGATTTTACTGCTATGTGAAAGGTGCCATATTAATGCAAGATGTTGTTAGGGCAACAACAACAACTTGCATTTACACAGCACCCCTCAGCAGGGTATTGTTGTTGAGCGCTTGACAGTGGGGGAGCCCGAGGCCGAGCTGGTGGTAGGGTATCGTACATACGGTTGAAGAGGAAAGTCTTCAGGCCCTTAATGTGGGGAATGAGGGAGTAAGACGGAGGGATAGAGGAAAAGTGTTCCATAGTTTCAGGGCTTAATGGCTGAAAGCACAGCCCCGATGTGGAACGAAGGGCTTGAGGAACATCATAGAATCGTACAGCACAGAAAGAGGCCATTCGGCCCATCGTGTCTGACCGGCTCCAAAAAGAGCAATCCAACTCAATCCCACCGGCCCGCTTTCTCTCCATAGCCCTGCAATCCTGTCCTCCCCAAATACCCATCTACTTCGCTCTTAAAAGTTGTTATTGAATCGGCTTCCAATATCCTTTCAGGTAAAGCATTCCAGCTCCGAACAACTCGCCGGGTGAAAACATCTTTCCTAACCTCACCTATGTTTCTTTTAATACCTATCTTAAATTGGTGTCCTCGGGTTACTGATCCTCATGCCAGCAGAAACAGTTTTTCCCGGTTCAACCTATCAAATCCTCTCATGATCTTGAAAAGCTCTATTAAATCCCCTCTTAATTTTCTCTGCTCTCGGGAGAATAATCCTAGTTTTGCTAACCTCCTCATAACTAAGGTCCTTCATTCCTGGTACCATCGGGTAAACCTCCTTTGCACCCTCTCCAATGCCCGAACATCTTTCCTAAAGTGCGGTGCCCAGAACTTTCCAACTGAGGCCTAACCAGCATTTTATAAATATTCAACATAACTTCCAGACTTTTAAATTCTATGCCCCTATTTATATTCCGTATACTTTTTTAACAGCTTTATCTACCTTTCCTTCCAGCTTCAGAGATTTGCTTATGTGGACCCCCAGGTCTCTCTGTTCCTTCACCTCCTTTAAGATTGTACCATCAGCTAATACCGCCTCTCCTCATTCTTCCTACCGAAATACAACACTTCGCATTTCTCCACATTGAACCTCATCTGCCACGTTTCTGCCCATTTTACCAATCTGTCCTTAAGACAGGTGGCAGACTCCTCTTGGAGTCTGGTGCTGTCCTCCTCACCATGAACTACTTTTCCTAGCTTAGTATCATCTGCAGATTTGGAAATTGTGCTCCCTATATCCAGGTCCAGATCATTAATATAGATCAGAAAGAGCAGTGGTTCCTATAACGACCCCTGAGGGACACCACTACACACTTCCCTCCAGTCAGAAAAGCAACCGTTTACTACCACTCTCTGCTTTCTGTCTCCTCACCAGTTCTGGATCCACGTTACCACAGTCCCTTTAACACCGTGGGCTTCTATTTTGTTTCTAAGTCTCTTATGCAGCACTTTATCAAATGCTTTTTGAAAATCCATATAAACTACATCTATAATAATAATAATCCTTGCATTTGATATAGCGCTTTTCACGTCTGGAGGACATCCCAAAGCGCTTCACAGAACACACTGTAAAGTGAATTGACTGTATATTTGTGGGCGAACGCGGCAGCCAATTGCGCACAGCAATGTCCCACAAACAGTCGTAGATTGAAATGACCAATTTATTTTTGGTTTTGGAGGATTATTATTAGGCTCTGTGTGGAGTAAGGAAACTGCCTGAGGTTTCACCCTCTGCCTGGAATTGAACTCGGGTCTCTCGCTTGCAAAGCGAGTGCTCTAACCACTGATCTACAGGACTCCACATCTACTGCACTACCTTCATCCACCCGCTCAGTCACTTCATCAAAACATTCTATTGGGTTTGTCAGACACGATCTGCCTTTAACAAATCCGTGTTCACTGTCCTTTATTAAACCATATTTTTCTAAGTGAGAATTTATATTGTCCCGGATTATAGTCTCCAGAAGTCTCCCTACTACTGATGTTAGGCTGACTGGCCTGGAGTTCCCAGGTTTATCCTTCTGCCCCTTTTTGTACAGGGGAGTCACATTTGCAACCTCCCAGTCCTCTGGCACCACTCCAGTGTCCCAACAGGATTGAAGGATTGTGGCCAGAGCCTCCGCTATTCCCACCTTTGCTTCCCTCATAACCTCGGATGCATCCCATCCGGACCAGGTGACTTATCTATGTTGAGCACCGACAGCCTTTTTAGTACCTCCTCTCTGTTGATTTTTATCATATCCGCGCCCTCGGGACCACCCTCCTACATGCAGGAGGCCGGAGCCAGTCGAGCGGAGGTAAAGGGTAGTGGGTTGGGGAGTAAGCAGGTCAGAGAGGTAAGGAGGTGCCAGGATAAGGAGGGATTTGAAGACAAGTGTGAGGCTCTTGAAATTGATCCAATCTGTGATTGGGAGCCAGTGAAGCATGGCATGGCTCGGATGATGTGAGGGCAGGAGCAAAGTGACAATGCTCTAAGTTTTCATGCTGAGCTGTGCTGCTCAGTTTGGTTTGGGGGATATCAAACATGGTGATGGGTTTCCGACTGTGTGGCCGTCACCATTACGTTAAAGTTGCTTCTCTTGACAGACGTAAGGCAGAGGCAGACCCGAGTGATGGGGAGGAAGATTTCTATTACACTGAGGTGCAAGAGACCAGCGAGGATCTACCGGAGTACAGCAGTGTCCCGCGCTCTCTCTCCCCCCCTGGCTTCTTCCCACAGAACCCGCCGGGGGTCTCACCACCACTGCCTCACCATGAGGAGGTCTCAGATGTGCCCGTCTCAGCCTTTCTCAGCCAATCAGCTCCCAGTTGCCTGTGGCAGGTTTCTGCAGATCATCCCTACAAGGTAGGTGGGCTCTGAGCAGGGCATCGCCACTGTGTATTAATAAAAATAATAATCATCACATTTGATTTAGTGCCTTATCTCTATGAACATCCTCGTCCTCACCTTCAAGGCTTTAATGGCCTTGCCCCTTCCTAACTCTGTGACCTGCTGACCCCATATCAACCTGTCCGCTCCTGCCTACTCCACACCCCCCGCCCAGCCTGATCCACCATTGGCGGTTGGGACTCCAGCCTCTCTGCCCACTCATTGGAACTCCATTGCTCATTCCCTTCGCTTCCTCGCTTCAAGAGATTTCTCAAGACCCTCCTGTTCAACCGCACCCTCGGCCACCCTCCTATCCTCCCTGTCCTTCACCCACCCTGATTCCCAACCCCCCTAACTCGCATCCAAATCCCTGACTGTTCAGTGCCTTGAGACATCCTACCAATGTGAGAGGCGCTATACAAATGTCATTTTGTGTTGTATTGTCTGAAATTGCTTCACAGAATATACTGTAAAGTGAATTGACTGTATATTTTGTGGGCAAAACACAGCAGCCAATTGTACATAGCAGTTGTGGATTGAGTGACCAAATTATTATTTTTATTTACTTTTGCTATCCACGTAAACAATATAGAGCAGATACAGTAGTTTATATAAAATATATATGATCCTATATGATAAAACCATATTATCCTATATAATAAAACCTCCTTGCGGCCTGGGCCTCACTTCATTTATATAAATAAATATAGAGTTTAGTCCCTCGATTCCCCCCCGCCTTGCCCCTTCCTTTTCCACTTTCAGGTCATGCCCAAAGACTTTCTTCTACCTTGCTTACAGTCACCTCCCCCTTGCTCGATGTCAGCTCCACCATGGTTAAGCACTCCAAGACACGACCCTGCATGAGGGGCACTGTATAAGTGCAAAGTTGTTGTTGACATTGTGAGCAATGAGTCAGCGAACACCCCTAGATCTCCCTCAGTGATGTGCAAGCTGTTGGGAATATTTTGAAACATTTGGTTTCTGTTCCAGTTTTCCCCGGATCGTGGCTTCACCTTTGGGGACTGTATTTTCCCGGAGATGGTGACACCTCACATTGTGTTTGCTGCTTCACCCAAAGTCCCTGCTAGCCACCGGTGAGGAGATATGGTGGGAGGAGGCAGTGTTGGGGGGGGGGGCATGCATATGAGGGTGCATGGGGGAAGTGGGTAGCGCTGGGTGTGGGGGTGGGACTGTGGTGGCTTCCGGTGTCACCAAAGACTTGTGTTCTTCTGGTGAAAGTGTAAAATTCTTTTCCTTTTGTTTTGTTTTCTGAAGGAAAGTTCGAGGAGAGGCCAAGAAATGTCGCAAAGTTTATGGCCTGGAGAACAGGAGCCAGTGGTGCACGGCCTGCCGCTGGAAGAAAGCCTGTCAGCGCTTCCACGATTGATTCCCCGCCTGCAGGCAGGGAGTGACCCTGTCCTGTCGCCTAGGCCGGGCGTGAGGATGTGCGGTAGCCTCGGCCGGGAAATATGTGAATGTATTTTTGCTCCAGTTACAGATGTGAGACATTACATTTTCAGGCTGTATATGTATATGGAGGGACTATTGTAATGAACTTGCATTTTTTCAGTGATTCTGTAAGTCTGGTTACCTAACAACTGGCTGTTTATATTGGGGGGAAGCTTTGGTTCTTCCTTGTGACTGTTAAAAGGGCCGTGTGCACTCCCAGGGCTGACAGCCTGTGTACACTGCTCACTGACATAGATACACAGAGTTGTATGGAGTGACACAGCACAGGACCATTTGGCCCAACTTGTCTGTGCTTCTATTTGTGCTCTACACGAGCCCCGTTTCTCTCCTTTTCCTTTTCCCTTTATAGAATCATAGTAATTTTCAGCACAGAAGGAGGCCATTTGGCCCATTGAATTCCCACTGACTCTCAGACCAAGGTGTTCATTCAATCACACTGTCCTGCTTTATCCCCACACCCCAGCAAGCCTCTACCCCTCATATACCCATCTATTTCCCTCTTGAAACCCACATTGCACTCTCCCTTATTAGACAGGGCATTCCACATCCCAACAGCTCTCTGATGAAAATATTTCCCCTCAGCTCTTCTCTTATATATGTGACCTCTCATGACTGACTCCCCAACCAGTGGAAATAGCTTCTCTCTGTTCACCCTGTCCAAACCCATCAACATGTGGAGTCCTGTAGCTTAGGGGTGAGAGCACTCACCTTGCAAGCAAGAGGACCTGAGTTTGAGTCCTGGGCAGAGGGACATGTTAGGCAAATTTCCTTACTCCACACAGGTCTGTTTACCCAGCAGTAAGTAGGAACCCAGTTGTTAGTCGATTGGTGGATTGCTTTCCGGGGTAATAATCCCTTCAAAAATAAATTAAAAAGTAATAATTTGTTTCACTCAATCCACGACTGTTTGTGGGACACTGCTGTGCGCAATTGACTGCTGCGTTTTACCCACAAAATATACAGTCAATTCACTTTACAGTATCTGTGAAGCGCTTTGAGATGTCTCAAAGATGTGATTAAGCGCTATATCAAAGCAAGCATTATTATTATCATCAATGCATACGTCGTGCCTGTCAAGAGGTCCAGCTCAATGGCTGATGAGGAATTGAGAGGCTGACATTTTGGTGTGAGTCCCTCTGGTGTGTCTGTGGCTCAATCTCTCATGCTCTCACTCTCCATGTGATTAATGTTCTGTTTGTAATGTGCTTTATTTTTTAAAAGTGTTTTATATAAAATCTTAGCCATAAAAGAAAAATACACTGCTTATTATTTGACAAATCATAATTATTTTGGGGTTCAGCCCGGAGTTTGATACATGTGGAGTACCATCACCGTGCTCAAGAGCATCCAGAACAGGTATGTAATGATCAATTCACTTTACAGTGTATTCTGTGATATGGCTGTGTATCAAATTCAAGGATTATTATTATGTCACCTACACCTGGGAATTCCTGTGTCGGGAATAGAATGTGTTCATTTTCTCCCCCCATTGAGATCACTGTGCCAAGCTTCCCTGCTTCTAGTCCAGCTAGCACCATTGGGGCTTTGGCTTGCAGGGTTAAGAGGAGCGGAGTGAGATGACCTACAAGGCCATTCATGGCCTTTTCCCTCCTACCTCTCTGACCTACTATCGCCCTACCTACCTGCCCGTACCCTCCATTCCTCTGGCTCCGGTCTGCTCCACATCCCCCGCCCCAACCGCCCTACCATCGGTGGCCGGGCTCTCAGCCCCAAGGCTCTGGAACTCTATCCCCCAGTGCCTTTGCCACTTCCTCCCTTTCCTCCTTCAAGGCCGGTCTCAAGACCTTTCTCTTTGACCGAGCCTTCGGCTCCCCTCTCGACTCTCTACCCCCTCCTCGGTCCCTCCCTTCCCTCCGACCATTTCCCCCCAACGCTCGGGTCCTGACCCAACTTTACAGCGACTTGGGACGTCCTCCCGACGTGAAAGGCGCTCTATAAATGGAATGTTGTTGTTGTTGTTGTTGATGACTCAAGTGACTGGACTGCTCTTCCAGGTCCTGCGGATGAGCTGGGCTGTGCTGTCATCAGCAATGCCCTGGAATAATGTAGACCTGCCTGGCTTGGGTACCGGACTAAAAAACGAGGGAGAATTTGATTCCGACATTCTGTTGGCAAACATATCATTTTTGATCCAGTTCAAATACAAGGGTATTGTAAAAGGCCTGTGTTTATGTGTCACTGAAGCTGCTGAAATCAAGGGGTGTATGATTCCTGGCCCATGTTGGCCTCCACCTTTTTGAATCCAACCCCAGCTCGGTTACAAACCCTCAACTGTCCAGCAGCTTCCTGATGGGGAAGGTGCTATATAAGTGCAATGTGATTGTGTAATCACAGCAATGTAATGTAATTGGAGATTAAAAATCAGTTGAAGAGAATTTAAATCTGTCTCTCAATATTTCTCAGGCACCTTTCTTGAGGAAGAGACAACCTTTCATGTAAGCAGGCAAACAAATCAAATTGGCAGTTAGTCACAGGCCAGGTGGTGGGGATCAGTACATTTGCTGACTTTAAAACTAGTTGTGTCTGAGGCCTATGTAAAGGGGAAGACTTGCGAGTGCCACACTAGCACACCCCAGGAGAGCGAGTGAGGACATAACAGAGTGGGAATTCTGTGCAGGAATTTGGTGAGAGTGGGAATTCTGAGCAGGAATTAAGGGGACAGTGGCAGTTTGGATTAAGAACTGGTAGTAAATAGTTGAGGACTGTAACCAACTGCAGGCAGACACACACAGAATGGTGGAATGGGCTGACATGTGGCAGATGGATTTCAATGTGGATAAGTGTGAGGTGATACACTTAGGGAGGAAAAATGATAGGAGGCAACATAGACTTGGAGCTCAATCTTAAGGGGGGTGAACGTACAGAGAGATCTGGGTGTTCAAGTAAGCGAATCATTAAAGGTAGTGGGGCAGGTAGATAGGGCAGTAAAAAGGGCATTTGGTGTCCTGAGCTTCATTAGTAGGGCATAGAGTATAAGAGTAGGGGTTATGGTTAATCTGTACAGAACACTGGTTAGGCCTCAGCTGGAGTACTGCGTCCAGTTCTGGACACCGTACCTCAGGAAGGACATTAAGGCACTGGAAAGGGTACAGAGGAGATTCACGAGAATGATACCAGGAATGGGGAACCTTAGCTATGAGGACAGTGGAGAAGTTAGGACTTTTCCCATTAGAGCAGAGAAGGTTACGCGGGGACCTGATAGAGGTCTTCAAGATCATGAAAGATCATCACACGGGAAGCGGCGGCAGTACAGCGCGGGGAGGAGCCTGGGCCTACCTTTCAGGTAATATAAAGCTCGAGGCGGCAGGGAGTTCAGCTCGGGGGTGAGGGGGTGTGTTGGGGTGGGGGTGGGGCGGAGCAGGGGAACTGCTGACGTGATAGTTCAGATTCAGGAGTGTACACGCACAAAAACAAAAACAAGGAAACAAAACTAAAAAAGACCTTCTGCGCCCCCCCCCCTCCCCCCCCACCCAGGGCTCACACCAGGACAATCTTGTTGTTGCTGCTGTTGTTGAAGGGGGGTGGCCGATGGCATCGTCAAAGAGAAGAGTATTGAGGCGGGACTTGAAGGAGGCTAAGGAGGGTGCGAGGCGGAGTGATTGGGGGATGGAATTCCAGAGGTTTGGGGCAGAGTGGCTGAAGTCTCTTCCGCTAATGGTGGGGCGGGAGGGTCGGGGGACATGGAGCAGCCAGAGCCGGCTGCGTGAAGGGAGCGGGCAGGTTGGTAGGGGGTTAGGAGGTCGCAGAGATAGGGTGGGGTGAGGCCATGGAGGGCTTTGTATGTGAGGACCAGGATCCTGAACTGGATCCTCTGAAGGAGAGGGAGCCAATGGAGTCAGGTAAGAATGGGGGAGATGGGGTCACGGAGTTTGGTGCAGGAGAGGAAACGTAGTGTATAGTGTCTGGATATTTTTGGCCGAAACGCGGAAGCCAATTGCACAGCAATTTCTTACCAACAGTCAAATTATTTTTATTGATTTGGAAGTATTCATTATCATATCATTATTCACTTTAAATTTGATGGTGTTGCACAAAATTAGGAAAGGCTCCAATTATGTTCACTATAAATGGGTTCTGATTGCTGGGTGTGGGATGATGCACGACTGCAAGGCTCAGTATCAACAACAACAACAACAACAGGATTCCATTTATAAAGCGCCTTTCACGTCAGGAGGACGTCCCAAGGCGCTGCACAGTTGGATCATGACCCGAGCAGGGGGGAAATGGTCAGGGTGAGGGGAGGAAAGGGAGGGAGCGAGGAGGGGGGAAATGGTCAGGGTGAGGGGAGGGAAGGGAGGGAGCGAGGAGGGGGAAGAGAGTCGAGAGGGGAGCTGAAGGCTCGGTCAAAGAGAAAGGTTTTGAGACCGGCCTTGAAGGAGGAAAGGGAGGAAGCGGCGAAGGCACTGGGGGATAGAGTTCCAGAGCCTCGGGGTTGAGAGGCTGAAGGCCCGGCCACCAATGGTAGGGCGATTGGGGCGGGGGACATGGAGCAGACCGGAGCCGGAGGAACGGAGGGTACGAGCAGGTAGGTAGGGGGATAGTAGGTTGGAGAGGTAGGAGGGAGCGAGGCCGTGAATGGCCTTGTAGGTGAGGATGAGGATCTTGAAATCAATCCTCTGGGGGATGGGGAGCCAGTGGAGGTGAGGCGAGGGCGAGGGTGAGGGCGAGGGTGAGGGCGAGGGTGGGAGTGAGGGCGAGGGTGGGGGTGATGTGGTCGCGGTGTCTGGTGCGGGACAGTACACGAGCTGCAGAGTTCTGAATGACCTGCAGTGTGGAGGGAGGGCCGGGAAGGCCGGCGAGGAGAGAGTTCCCATAGTCCGGCCTTGAGGTGGTAAAGGCGTGGACCAGTTTCAGCCGCGTGAGGGTTGAGGTAGTGCCGTAGTCTGGCGATGTTCTGGAGGTGATGGAAGGCGGTGCCAGTTGTGGTGCGGATGTGAGGGAGAAAGGACAGCTCAGGGTCGAACAAAACGCCGAGGTTCCTGATGGCTTTGAGAGGTGGAGAGTGCAGCCTTGGATGCTGATGGTGTCGGCGCCTGTCACTGTCTATCTCAAGAGGGCTGGTATACAAAGATTCTTCAGGTCTATAGAGCCCTGGTGAGTCCCCATCTGGAGTACTCTGTTCAGTTTTGGACACTATACCTTTGAAAATATATATTGCCCTGGAGGGGGGCAGCACAGAATTGCCATAATGATAACAGGGTGTAAAGGATTATCATATTAGGATTTGTTGCACAAACTTGATCTACATTCTCTTCAGTTGAGAAGTTTGAGTTGTGATCTGATTGAGGTGTTTAAAATAATAAACTGATTCATTAATAATAAAGGGATTCGGAAAGGTAGCTACAGAGAAACTATTTCCTCCGGCAGGGGAATCCAGTACAGTGGGGCATAATCTTAAAGTTATATCTAGGTGTTTTAGGAGTGAAATTAGGAAGAATTTTTTTTACACAAACGGTAGAGGAAATTTGAAAACTCGGTAATTGAAGTTGAGGTGCAGATTAGGTGTGATCCAATAATATGGACTTCTCCTTTTCCTACATTCCCATGTTCTACGGTAGGAAAATCACTCCTCCACTCTCTGTGCAAATGACTGTATGAGGGTAAGTAACAGGCTTTTCTAATGAATTGGGAGGTTGGGTGCCTGAGGTTGGAGAATGGGTGCAATGGAAATGATTGATGAAAAAGGG